CGACTTCCATACACTGTATCAGATATAATAAAGGCTGTTTGCAGTTTATTTCGTTTATAGAATAGTTTATTTCACTATAATATTTTTATTATTGGCTTTGGTACAAACAACTTAAAGGGAGTGTTCGCGAAAAATGAAAGGGGGGTATAGGCTTAATGCGATAAAAAAGCGCTTTTGATCGCTACTAATCTTACTTCTATCTGTTGCGTCTATGAGGAGAAAATTGTTAAAGACGTCTCACATCGAATAACTTAGCGCCCATACAAATTGAGAAAATTGCAACATACGACTTAGACCGTAAAAAAATCAATTTAATTTCAAACAAATCATTCAGATATTACAAACTATAATCATCGATTATCTTTCGCCACATTTGTCTATAGTTTATATTTTATAATATTTTTTAACTAATTTGTTTTGAATTTAATTATTTCTCTTGTCGCTTGCGCAACTATCTAAGAATGCCGCAGATCACTCACATTTTTCGAAATCCGTTAAAAATATTTTCTAAAAATATGAAATATAAATAAATTAATATAAAATATAACCTAAATACAAAGACATGTTAGTTGAATATTATATGATACACATGGATATTTTAATTTCTAATTCTGATGGTTAAGAAATATCGATTTGATATGATCAAATGGAACTTTGATAGAATCTAAGAATTTTGCTAAAATTCTTTTTAAAATGTCGGGAACAATTTTTATCAGCTTAGATCAAACTTTTATGATGAATTTTGATCCGTATTGGATACAAGGTGAAGCAATAACTTAACATCTAAAAAATAATAATTTCATGCAACTACGGCATAATTTAAAATATTATCTTTGTAAATATGTATTTAAAAAAATGGAATTTGAAATTAAGAAAATGTTGCCAATATTTAAATCAATTGGAGAAAATGCGATATTTTTCTAATCATTTTGAAGGGGAAATAAATTCATAAAAATCACAATTTGGAAATCCCGGGTTTTACGAAAGATTTCAAAATAAACAAAAGTGTTTATGAAACTATTGTGTTCTTTATAATTCTTACTCACTTCATCGTCAACTTCATAATGAACGTGCTATATAGTAATCATCGTGAAATAAAGATAAATTATCTGTTCATGACTTTACAGCGTACGTGTGCTATAAAGTTTGGATTGGTTCCAGGATTTTCTCCAAAAAATTTAGGATATTATCAAAATATTTTTTGCAATTTAAACGAAATAAAAATTTAAATCAAATTTATATTTTTACTTTTAAATAGTCCATGATGAGCATCATGATTCATGAAACATAACATTTAGTAATGTAACCAAACCATTTCACTTTAAAATGGATTTTTAAGATACCGGTAAAATCTTTTTACGCTATATCTACATCAAATACACTTAAATACTGCTTTAATATCGTCTTACAGTTTTCTGGTTCTTACTGCAAGGATTGGACACAAACAAATATTAATGGAAGGACGAGACATTCAATGTAGCTCGTAGGAGAAATTGTTGTGGCTAGCCTTTCCCTCAATTATTACGAATTCCTCCAGGTAATGTTGATCCGCTCTACTGCCCATCCGTCCTATTGCCCATCCGCTATACTGCCCATCTGACCTACTCCAACATCTGACCTACGACAGCTGTAGGTCGGATGGGCATATCTTCTTGCCCATCCGACCTTTCAGCAGCATGGCCACTCAATTTTGTAGGTCAGATGGGCACTTTTTGTAGGTCGGATGGGCATTTTCGTAGGTCGGATGGGCACTTTTAGTAGGTCGGATGGGCACTTTCTGTAGGTCGGATGGGCACTTTTTGTAGGTCGGATGGGCATATTTCGTAGGTTGGATGGGCATATATTTCGTATTGGATGGGCACTTTTTGTAGGGGGGCCGAGTGCTGCGGCCATGAAAGACCTTTAATTTTAACAATTTTTAATAAAATTAGTGTATATTTAAGGTTAGGTGAGGTACCTCATTTCTGGGCCGAGCGCTGCGGCTAGGACGGGCTAGGGGGCCGAGCGCTGCGGCCATGAAAGACCTTTAATTCAACAATTTTTAATAAAATTAGTGTATATTTAGGGTTAGGTTAGGTTAAGCTTATTTCTGGGCCGAGCGCTGCGGCCACATGTCTGGGCTGACCTACGAAAAATGCCCATCCGACCTACGAAAAATGCCCATCTGACCTACGAAAAGCGCCCATCCGACCATACAAAAAATGCCCATCCGACCTACGAAAAATGCCCATCCGACCTACGAAAAGTGCCCATCCGACCTACGAAAAATGCCCATCCGACCTACGAAAAATGCCCATCTGACCTACGAAAAGCGCCCATCCGACCTTTGAAAAATGCCCATCCGACCATACGAAAAGTGCCCATCCGACCTACGAAAAATGCCCATCCGACCTACGAAACGAAAAATGCCCAACCGACCTACGAAAAATGCCCGATCAGACCTACTAATGTGTCCAAGCGACAGTTTAAAGTAGGTCGGATGCACCAAGCTGTTTTTAACGTGGCCATCCGACCTACAGTGCATCGGACCAACCAGAGCTGTTAAAACCACGTGCTTGTAGGTCGGATGGGCAGTAGAGGGGATGGGCGTAGGTCCAAAAGTACACCATCATTCCTCCGGATTTGTTCAAAGCAGAAGACGACATTTAATATCTGAAATGCAAGCTTAAATTGAACCATCAAATCGTGAACAAACCTCTACGACTTAAGATCGCAAGAATAACCGCAATGCCCATAACTATTATCAGAAATTCCAATATGTTGTACATAAACACCAGGCTGCAAAAATTTTAAGTTAAAATAATTTCTGACAAATTTCATATTTTTCTAATTTATTTTTCCGTACGGATCCTTTCCTGAAGCTGTTANATAATATGTAGGAACATGATAATTGATATCATTTCATAAAGTTTATTTTCATTGTCACTTTCAAGTAAACTTTATTATTTATACAGAATAAATAAAAACTATACTTTAAATGAGAAATGATTTGTAAAAATCCAGGGGGGGGTACACCCCCCCCTAATTTCACTCAGGGGGGGGTAATGGACTGCCACCCCCCCCTTGAAACCGCCTATGTTAATGCTACTCACAAAGTATGAGATTGTTAAAAGACTACCCCCAATACACTAAAAATATGACGATGCGAAGCCTGAATTCTTGTATCTGCTTTTAAATGCTTATTTTGATTTGATTAACTAAATGACTATGCACAGAAATAAGCCAGTTTAGGCCGACAAGGAACCTTGAATGCAAGAAAACGGACTTAACATTTTCCGTACAATCGTCTCTGAAGTCGCATCGTTTGTGAGTATCTGAGTAACCCTGTACATACAGGGTGTCCCAAAAAACATGGGAATTCAGTGACGAATTCGATATCGTCTTTGTTATGAATTAGCAGTGTAATACCTAATTTCAAAAGCTATAATATTATTATGTCTGCTAGAGTTTATTTTATGAAAAGGGTAAAAGACTGCAAAGATGTGTCTATAATTTGTCTCCACAAGATGAACAGTGAAGACGGACAAGTTTACTTTGTTTGTATACTGCAATTTTCTTGTTTTACTAAGTACAACCGTATACAGTCAAAACATTAACAAACAAACTGTAAACATAGCAGTCGGAAATCTTACGGATTACAGCTTTCTCAGTAGGTATTACTATACTAAAAAAGAATTATTTGAGAAGACGATATTGAATTCGTCACTGAATTCCCGTGTTTATTGGGACACCCTGTATATATCAGAATAATTAGGTTTAAAAAAATCTAACGATGAACTGTTCCAAGAATTTATAGGAAATTAACACGTAATTTCAAGGGACCCCTCAACTGATGAAGGGGTATGTTCAAGGGACCCCTCAACTGATGAAGGGGTATGTTCAAGGGACCCCTCAACTGATGAAGGGGTATGTTCTCGAATCACAACGATACAATTGAAAGCTTTATCTGAAAGTATGAATAAGTTCCAAGTTGTGTTTTTGTTTTTAAAAACTGATAATTTTCATTTGTGGATTCTCTTTTGAAATGACTTGCGGAATTATTGCAATTCAAAACCAATGGAAAAATTTACAGAATGCAAAACTTAACAAGTTTCGTGGGACACCCTGTAGAACACCAACGTTATCGATATCTATTACCGAGCAGATCAAGGTTTCAAGGGTACCACTCTCAATTAGGCATGTCTCTCGTTTCTTGAGACAAAATAAACATTGGTTTCCCTTGTTTATGTAGATTTAATCCTAAATACTAAATAAAAGAATATTAATCGATATACTAAAACAAGACATTCGTATATATGTTCCTTATAACCGGCAAAAAGGCTGGACCGAGTGGACTGAAATATTTAGTGGACACTTATGGGTACCCTAGGGGTGACAGAGACGAACAATAATCGGAAAGGACCTCACTAGTCTCCTGGAGTTTGTAATAACTCTTGTAATAATAGAGATAAATGGTGCTAACTTTGCACCTATATTCTTTTAATCCATAAGGGGCATAAAAAAATTTCAAATTTTTTTTTTCTTGATCAGGGGCGTAGAAAGGGGGGTATTTGGCCCAAAACAGGATATATATAAATACCTGTTTTGGGCCAAATACCCCCCTTTCTACGCCCCTGATCAAGAAAAAAAAATTTGAAATTTTTTTATGCCCCTTATGGATTAAAAGAATATAGGTGCAAAGTTAGCACCATTTATCTCTATTATTACAAGAGTTATTACAAACTCCAGGAGACTAGTGAGGTCCTTTTATATTTAATCAAACATAAGATTTTTCTCTCAAAAATCTATTTTTCTAAAATTCAACTTTCAATAATTCCATGGACAATTACCAGTTGTCAATAATTTCAAATTACCAAAACTCAAAAATAACTATTCAAAAATTACAAAAAAAGGGATCTTTTATAAACTTTGGACTGGAGAATATTGCATTCCTAGTTTCAGGGTTGCATTTCAATAACAGGGATAAAAAATGAAATTTTAATATCTTCTTACAAAATACTACTTAAATCGTTTAAATTTCACAACTTCAACACTGAAATTGGTTATGGGCTAAACGCTAGGCTACATTTTATATGGAAAAATAATTGACTTGATATTTCTATCCTAATTTAGAATCATTTTAAGGGTTGACAAGGATATTATTAATATGTCAATTTTTCAAGTTATTTACAGATTTCGAGATCTAAAAAGGTTTCGTTAGAATTTCTGTAAATTATCTTCGATACGATTTTGAATCCCCGCCTTGACTTCTATCCCTATAATCGCGATGATCTCGATCATGGTGTCGTCGATCATCTCCACCACGACGATCATCACGACCACGGCGATCTTGAAAGCGATCAGAACCACTCCGAACATGATCTCTTGACCTTCGATCGTCCAAGTCTCGACGCAAGTCCATTCGATCTAGTGGGTTATGATCACGTCCATAGGATCGATCCTGATACTGATTGTAACCGCCGTTTTGAACCGAATAACCGCCGTGATCCATCGGGGGTGGCGGTGGCTGTGGCGGAAATCCGAATGGAAGCGGCGGAGCCCCAAACGACTGATAATGAAGTTGAGGGACAAAATGTTGGTTAGATTGCTGATGATGATCCGGCGCTGATCCAGGCAGGGCAGAGGCGGAGTAGGATCTAGAATGATTTCTTCCGCCTCCTCCGCCCCACCCTTGATTGCCTCCGCCCCGACCCATGAATAGACTCGGATTAACTCGTCCAATATCAATCCCTAAAAATTCAATATTATTATTTTTTGTAAAAACGTCAAAACAAAAACCCTACAAGTAATTACAGTATTACTCACAAAGGACGAGACTGTAAAGACGACCCAAAACACACCCAAATTAAAGAACACTTGAAACTAATGAAGAAGAAAATCTAAAGGCGAACGAAAAAAGGACGACTTAATCATAAAAAGACGACAACTTAAAAAATAAAAAGACGACTTTATACATAAAAGAAGACGACTTTGAACATAAAAGAAGACGACTGTCATTATAAAAAGACGACTACAGTTTGAAAGAATTAATTGATTAAATTGATCTATATTTGTACCCTGTACAGTGTACACTATGTACAACACTTTGTACTGTACCTAGTCCTGTTTCTTTATGCTGTAGACGCAGTCGTTGTCCATAAAGCTCAATACCGTTCAGAAGGTCATAGGAATATTTTATACTCTCTTCATGATGAAACACTAAACACAATAAGTTCATTATTATGAAAACTTTAAAATGCCATGATAGCAAGTTGAAATTTAGAAGTTTACTATTTGCAAGTATTTTGAGTTTCAGCTGACAACTGATTCTTTTTTTTCTTTTACGGGATTTACAGTCGTAATTTCAAATTTATCTTGCACATATTTATAGTGGTAGGTCCAATTTACAATGGTAACCATGTGTTGTGATTTATGCTGCAGAAACAACGAAATAAACCGACAGAATTAAATAAATTTAAAGGGAGTGTTGGCGAAAAATGAAAGGGGGTATAGGCTTACGGCGAAAAATAAGCGCTTTTGATCGCTACTAGTCTTACAGATCTATCTGTTACGTCTATCACGAGAAAATTGTTAAGAACGACTCATACCGAAGAACGTAGCGTCCATATAAATTCAGAAAGTTGCCACATTCAACTCGGATCGTGAAAAATCAATTTTATTCCAAACAAATCATTCAGATATTACAACCAACCAACATTCATCGATAACTTTTCGACGCATTCGTATATAGTTGATATTTCATAATATTTTAAATTTTTTATGATCTGAAAGTTACTTTTGAAAACATTTATTCCTGTTCCAAAGATTTTTGATAATGAAGACGACATTTTCATATTTTCCAGGAATGTTCAAAAATCCCGCGCCTGCGAAATATTATTTTAAAAATATTAAGAAATAATACCTAAATACGAATGTGTCAAAAAAGCGATAAAAGCGCTTGTTTTTCACCGTAAGCTTATACCCCCCTTTCATTTTTCGCGAACACTCCCTTTCAGTCGAGACTGTCCTTTTCATTGCTGCTTAAAAAAGATGTAAAAGTTACGGCGTTGTGAATCCTTTAAGACATTTTTAACGTTTTACCGTGAATCTTTGTAACTCTTTAAAACCTTATTAACCTATAAATGCAAACGATTTCTTCTTCCTAGTTTCTTTATCAACAGGACAAGATATCCGTTCTATTGGTCCAGCATTCAGGAATAGTTCATAGAGTACATCCTCCTCAGCCTAAACAAAAACCGGTTTTGTGTACTTAAGTTTTAAAATTCCCCGCTAAACGTCGCTCTTAATCTCTATAATGATATTAATTTTTTTTTCAATATTCGAAAAACGATTGAACAAAACCGGCTTAAATATTTCTTAGGAACTCTTATGCTTCCCGGGGATAACAAAGGCTCAATATTTTGTTGAAATTTTAGAAATTCCACGGGCAACACCGTACATTTCAACTTCAAAAATGTAATAATACCAAGCGCGAGAAAACGGCGGAGTAATTATAATGATAAAATAAAAATTTAATAATATAACATTTACGTAGCCTTAGTTTTTTTTTATCTTATGAAGATAACAGTTGGTATACGGAGTTTATAATTGCTGTCTACTCTTTCTACAGTAAACGTTGAATATATAATACTAAATTTAAAATTTCCACTATCGATTTTTTATTAATTAATTAATACACATTATTGCTGAACAAGTTTTAATTCATACCCTTGTGAGCCGCAATCTTCTATACCTTTTTCAGTTCATGTAAAATTTTGTGGACAGCCCCTTTAATGTGGTCGAAGAAATGTTCAAAAATTATGAAAAACATCAATTTGCTTATGATTTAGTAAATGATGTATCAAAAATTTTAAAATTTTAACATTGAATATGCTTTAAATAATTTTTTTAAAAATAATGTTATTTGTTCTTGAAATTTTTAAACATTCTCTGTGAGACCATGTTAAACCGCAGGTGCTGGTTTAGGGGGAGAAGATAGGGGGGGGGGGGGAAGAGGGTTGAAAATACGAAAAAAAGGCCGCTAATAAGCCAGTACGTGATTTGAAGTATCCTTCCATCAAGACATTGGCTATTTTCTTTTACGGTTTCTATATTAATTAATTATCAATATTTATATTAATATAAAAAGTGACAATGAAGGAAATTGTAAGAATTGACTAATTTTCAAATCGAATAAAAGGAATTTATCTAATTTTATCATTATTAAGAGGGTACCTTGTAAATCGGTAAATCGTACATATCTCTACTAAAATAAAGGGTTTCTAGAAATTATGTAAACAGTCCCTTTAAGAGATTTCAACGTTTGATATTTGGAAATAAACTCCTGACAAACTCCTGTATACGCCCCTCAACACAAAACAACTTGGGTATTTTGTAAATGAGACTTCTGTATACACACAATATTCCAATTATTTTCAATCTTAATTTTTATGGAACGAAATTTTATTTTGACAAAATTATGTCCTTTTAACATTTGTCCTTGTTTTTGACCTGAAAATGTCAAAGTATTGCGTACCGATGTGTTCTTTATCCAAAATCAGCACAGTTCCGACTTTTTCCCTTCTATTTCTCACTTTCCTTTTGACCTTTACTTTCCTTGACTCAGAAATTGAATTGAAATTTGCGATTGAGTTAAACTTTAAAACACAAAAAATTGATTACGAAAGTTTTCTAATTCCTATATCTTTGTCACCTGATGGTTTACACCTAATATAAAATATTATTTAAAACTTTGTCCATTACATCTAGTAGAAATCATTGTTCGAAACTTCAAAACTGTTTTAACATTAGGTTGTAAAGATGTCAGGATTAGAAAATATAGATTGAGACGAGTAATCAATTACAATTATTTGATACAACTATGTATATAGAAAATTTATATAAATTTTTATACTATTAAATTTCATGTTTTGATATTAATAGAAGAGTTAGAAAGTCTTAACATCACACAAAAACTTAGATATTCACCTTCTCTGAAATGCCTCCGACCCACAAGGTTCTCATCTTTTCCTCACTGTGCTCCTCCGTTTTATCCTCCAGGTCTCCATTCCGAGGGGTACTATGGTTATTGTCATTTCTTGAGCCTCCATTCCGTGGCGTACTGGGGTTATTGTCATTTCTAGCGCTAACTGTTCGTTCACGCTGAAATATGAATATTAATAGAAAATATTTAGCATAATAACCAGGAATACACTTGAACTAGAAACTGCTGGGATTATTGGCGTCTTCATTGTTCATTTTAATTCAAAATTTTGGATCTATGTTTATTAACAAATAATGAACGTCTGAAATATATTCATTGTATTACCAAGTCTCTAGGCCTTTCATAATAAGAGAGAAAAACTATAATTCTGGTCACGGAGGTCAGGTTCTTTAATCTTTAAGGGAGTGTAAACAGAGGTCACGTTCTTTAATCTTTAAGGGACTGTAAACAGAGGTCACGTTCTTTAATCTTTAAGGGACTGTAAACAGAGGTCACGTTCTTTAATCTTTNTTCGGGGGGGGGGGGTCAAATTGACCCCCCCCCAGCATATCCTGGTTTTCAAGTACCCCAGCAGAGATAGGGTTAAAGGACTGTAAACGGAGGTCACGTTCTTTAATATTTAAGGTACTGTAAACGGAGGTCATGTTCTTTAAACTAAAGGGACTGTAAACAGAGGTCACGTTATTTAATCTTTAAGGGACTGTAAACAGAGGTCACGTTCTTTAATATTTGAGGGACTGTAAACGGAGGTCTCGTTCTTTAATCTTTAAGGGACTGTAAACAGAGGTCACGTTCTTTAATCTTTAAGGGAGTGTAAACGGAGGTCTCGTTCTTCAAACTTTAAGGGACTGTAAACGGAGGTCTCGTTCTTTAAACTTTAAGGTACTGTAAACGGAGGTCACGGTCTTTAATCTTTAAGGGAGTGTAAACAGAGGTCACGTTATTTAATCTTTAAGGGACTGTAAACAGAGGTCACGTTCTTTAATCTTTAACAGACAGTAAACAGAGGTCACGTTCTTTAATCTTCAAGGGAGTGTAAACGGAGGTCACGTTATTTAATCTTTAAGGGACTGTAAACAATGGTCACGTTCTTTAATCTTTAAGGGATTGTAAACAGAGGTCACGTTCTTTACTATTTAAGGGACTGTAAACAGAGGTCACGTTCTTTAATCTTTAAGGGACTGTAAACAGAGGTCACGTTCTTTAATCTTTATGGGACTGTAAACGGAGGTCATGTTCTTTAAACTAAAGGGACTGTAAACAGAGGTCATTATTTAATCTTTAAGGGAGTGTAAACAGAGGTCACGTTCTTTAATCTTTAAGGGACTGTAAACAGAGGTCACGTTCTTTAATATTTGAGGGACTGTAAACGTTATTTAAATTCTGTTAGACAAGGGTCCCAACTGCTTTTAAAAGCTTGGTCTGATTTAGAACGAAAAAGCTATAATTAATTTTTCTCTTTATAAAATTGAGTATTAACAATGTGGTTTGACTTACGGATTTCTGCTTACAGAAAAAATTGAGTTAATTAATCCGAATAAAACACTGACAATGTCCAATTACATTATTGATCAGACAAAGGTTTAAAGGCAACATTGTTAATGGAGTGTCCACCAAGTTGAATTAGTAATCTCCCTTAATGTGTTCGCAATTGTTCCCAAAATCCCTCTAAGGTATCAATAATTCATATAAAATCTGTACAACTGTTCTTAGACCTTACCTTGTCCAGCCCCAAAGTGACCTCTAGACCTCCATGCATTATGATCTGAAATTTTTATAAGATGTATTCTTATATTCTTTATTTTACAATACGATAATTTTACGATTTTTAATTAAACAACTATATATTTTTGGCTCAAAATTGCATAGTTCAAATGAGTTTTACGTCACAAAAAAAAGCCCTAACTGAGCTAAAAGATTGAAAATGGAATATTTTACGAATTGATAAAATTGACTATTACAATATTTTTACGAATTGAACAAAATTAGCTATTCACAATTTGCACATCTTAACGAATTAAAAAAAATTTGATAAGGTCACAGACAGAATGTCCGTGAGTTGATATGAGTCAATGGACCTTCACCCTGGTAAGCGTGTTCATTGACTTTTCGCGCACATATTTTTACGAAAGGAGGAAATTTACTATTGGCATATTTTTATGAATTGAAAATTAGCTATTTACAATTAGCATATCTTTACGAATTGGAAAAATGACTATATTCGCATATTTTTTCGAATTAAGAAATTACTATTAAACATTTACATACTTTTTGGATATGAGAAAATTAACTTTAAACATATTTTCAGTTTTCACGATATAGAATATTTTTTTCTTTTTTTACAATATTTAGGAAGATGTTTTAGAAGTTATAATCTCTGTTGAAGATTCCGTAATGTGAGGTTGGAGAAGAATGACGGGCTCTCAGCCGACGCAGACTATCCTCCAAGGGATCTTGATAATTTCTCGCGGCAGCGGCGGCGGGTGGTTGAACAGGGGCCAGGTCTTGGCCAGGCGGTTGGTTGATCGTCAGCAGTTGGGTCCGGTTAATAGCCGCCTGTCTGGTTGTATAATCTTTGAGCTCACGTTTAACTCTAAAAAATTGAATATGAATTAAGACTTTTGTATTTAATAAATATCCACCCTCTGTAAAGAAAATAGTAGATGAGAATTTTTTATTATGGAATCTCTTCTTTCTTTCTGGTATGCACGTAGTTTAGATTTACTTACCTTGTAATATTATCTTCTCTGGATATAGCAGTCTGGTATGCACGTAGTTTAGATTTACTTACCTTGTTAGATAATCTTCTTTGGATGTAGCTGTCTGGTATGCACGTAGTTTAGATTTACTTACCTTGTAACATTATCTTCTCTGGATATAGCTGTCTGGTATGCGTGTAGTAAAGATTCACTTACCTTGTAACATTATCTTCTCTGGATATAGCTGCCTGGTATGCACGTAGTTTAGATTTACTTACCTTGAATATAGCTGTCTGGTATGCGCGTAGTTTATATCTACTTACTTTGTAACATTATCTTCTCTGGATATAGCAGTCTGGTATGCACGTAGTTCTAATTTACTAACCTTGAAACATAATCTTCTCTGGATGTAGCAGTCTGTTATGCACGTAGTTCTAATTTACTAACCTTGTAAGATAATCTTCTCTGGATATAGCAGTCTGGTATGCACGTAGTTCTAATTTACTAACCTTGAAACATAATCTTCTCTGGATATAACTGTCTGGTATGTACGTAGTTCTAATTTACTAACCTTGTAAGATAATCTTCTTTGGATGTAGCAGTCTGGTATGCACGTAGTTCTAATTTACTAACCTTATAAGATAATCTTCTTTGGATGTAGCAGTCTGGTATGCGCGTAGTTCTGATGTTAGCAGAGGATGTTGTCTTGTCAGAGGAACAGTTAAATGTCGAGTACTGTACTCAAGCATCTAGAATACAAATATATTTTCGACAAAAACATGACTTAAAAATACGAGACTGTATAAGTAACGTTTTAAAACAGTAGATCCTCAAAACCTTAACCGCTGATCAATAATGAATGAAATAAACAATTTTACTGTCAACAAATTATTATTTTAAATTGTTGTGTCTCTATTAAAGAGAAAAAAATGGTCAGATTTACTGTTCAAATAAATCACGACGATAGCTTCTGTATCGATGTTAAGATGAAGGTTTACAGAGGGTATCATTGTGAAACTGTATTGGTTGTCCTTAAAAGCTCACCAGTATTCTCCTAGATGGAGTGATCTCTGCTAGTCTGTACCCATGTCCCATGGTACTCGACACGTGGGCAGTTATAATTCGATTATTTCCGGCGCGCAGTTGAGCTTTATCAGCGGAATCCTGCACAAAATCAAGATTAGGTTAATTTAATTAGGCTAATGTACGCATTATTCACGGATTTACAGGTTTTTTTTGAAGAAAAATCTGGCGTTATCCAATACTTAAGTTCTTTTCTTACTCTATACACCCACATCTACACAGTTTGTTTTTAATCTTTGTGAAGAAACAATCTCAAGTAATAATTGTCTTAAAACATTTTTTTAGAAAGTGAATATTTGCAAATTATCTTGTTTCCCTCTCATAATCTGAGTTCTTTTCCCTTATGTCCATTTGACAGCCAAAATTTTTATTTTGAATAGTCTTTTTGTTTGTTTATCTTCTTGTGATTTTTTACATTTTTAAATTTTTTTTTATCGATTTTGATGGTTTTTATATCGTTAGAACTGACGAGAGTCAACCCAGACCGAAATATATTTTCAATAAATGTAGAACTAACATCTACTTTTTTACTCTAGAGAGGTTTGGTCCATCACCATCACCGAATTTTAAATCTAATTTAATTGTAAATTCCTTATTTTACTGGATGCGGCTCTTTGATCAAACATTTTAAATAAGGATATAAATCCAAATCCATCTCAAAAAAAATGTTTTAAAACAAAAATATTTCTTCTAAAGTATTCTGAACTTAAAGGACCCGGCATCCAGATACTTTGCGGTCAAGATATAAGCAAGCAATTTTAGTGGTATGCAAATGTTATCATTTAGATCCATAAATTATTATTCTGGATTGTGTATATATGCTTTGAAAACAATTCTCCTCTTCCCTAAAAATTAATTTTTCCCCAAGTGTTTTGTATGCTTGCGTAATGCGAAATTTTTTATTTTATTTGCTGCATTAGGGAAAAAAATAAATCCATTGGGAAATGAATGATTTATGGGCAATTATCATAAAGGATTAAAAATTACCGTTTGATTTTATATTTTTTATTAAAACCGATGAAAATATATACTACAGTTCTCCTAAAGTTTAAGAAAGTTGACTCACCTTATCACTTTTCTCCTTGCGTTCTCTCTCCAGTTTCTCTTGAGCATTCTTCTCCTTTTCTGAAGCATCTCCAGCCTTCTCTACTTTAGCCAGCAGTTTATCACTTTCCTAGAATACAACCATGTTATCAGGGGTTTATATATTTTCTACTTTAGGTTAGGTTAGGTTAGGTTAGTTTATATATTCTCTACTTTAGCCAGCAGTTTATAGGATACTGGATGCAGGATACTGGATGCAGGATACTGGATGCAGGATACTGGATGCAGGATACTGGATGCAGGATACTTGATGCATGATATTGGATGCATGATATTGGATACAGTATACTGGATACAGGGTTCTGGATACAGGATACTGGATACTGGACACAGGATACTGTGTACAGGGTACAGGATACAGGATACTGGATACAGGGTACAGGATACAGGATATTGAATGAATACTGGATACAGGATACAGGATACAGGATATTGAACTTAATACAGGATACATGATTCTGGTTACTGGATACAGGATACTGGATACTGGGTACATGATACTAGGTGCATGATACTGGATACATGATACAGGGTAGATGATACAGGATACAGGATACAGGATACTGGATACAGGATACTGGATACTGGGTACATGATACTGGGTACATAATTCTGGGTACATGATACTGGGTACATGGTACTGGGTACAGTACTTATGGAACATATTCTCAAATAAACACTTCTTGGACATATCTCGAAAATTATGAATGAATTTTGATTGTCAATTGAAACATTAATCAATCTAATATTATTTAGAATGCAGAAAATAAGTTAAACTAACTTCATTTTGACGAGAATTGTTTTTTAATTTTCATGAAAAATTTGCTGAAATGAGTGAAAATTAAAAAACGGTGTATTTTCCAGGATAAAAATCCGTACAATCCGTACAATTTGAAAACAAATCCGTACAATCCGTACAATTTTAGGGTTTAAAAAAACCAATCCGTACATTTTGGCCACCCTGGGGTTTATATATTCTCTACATTAGCCAGCAGTTTTTCAACCCCCTGGGACCGAATTTATTGAATTTGAGCTACATCGCTGAACTATCACCTGCCGTTTCATATTTGAACCACCGATTCAAAGTGAAAGATTTAGAAAGGATTTGAATCGGTAGTAGACAGTTCAAATTCAGAAGTTCAGTCTCAAGGAAAAATGAAAATAGAAATCTTGCTACTGGTTAATTAATTAAAATACTTACAGCTTTGTCAAGTTTTGTTATTTTAAGATGAAGCTTAAAGAATGAGCGGCCAGTCTCAGGATCTATAGTTAAATAATCCTGCAGAACCCTGAACAATTAAATATAATTAATATTCAAAATTACTGATGAATATAGTAAAACAGAAATTAAACATTGTTCAAGTTCTTTTACAGTTTCTTAGTTTGATATTCATAGTAACTGCTTGGTTTTGTTCAAAGCAAAAATATGCAATAAATAATGTAAAAAAAAACTTTGTACTGCTTGAACCTAATCTATAGAAGAGAAAACAAAACTTTTAATATTTAATTTTGTTAGATAAAGAAACCTAGAACTAAATCAAAGGTAAAAATCGTTATCAGAAAACGAACAGGGTTTTTACTAATAAAAAATCAGGGGCCCTGAACATTTTCTTGAAAAAACCCCCCCCCCCCATAGCTAAATTAAGAAAACAAATTTTTTTTTTATTGAAAATAAACGAATTTTTGGGGTTTTAAGTGTTGCAAGTTTTTAATCCCAACTAAATCTAAACTAAATCATTAAAATATATAACTCGAAAAAAAGAAAATAATTTGTTTTTAAAAAGCACAGGGAAAAAAACTTACATGTTTGTAACGACCATCATGAACCCGATGTTATTGAAATCATCAACACAGTGAAGGTCTAGGGAGGTGATGGGGATACTGTGCTTGATCGGTTCAACGCTAGGATCCTCGGAGATAATACTCAAGTGAGCCTAATAACAGGATTTAATTAATGTACACTACAGTAAGAATTAGATAAATGTGGAATCAGCGTCGTCTCTGTAATTTGATGTTGTCCCAACTGACAAATCTCTAATAAAGTTCAGGACAATGTTTTCAATAAAGTTAATGAAAATCTTGGCTACATTTAAAACTGAAAGACAAAGAAAAAAAACAAAAAAGTTCCGCTGACTTGCCTTATACTGACAGCACTGTGACAGGTTTCCTTCCATTTGAACAAAGTTGTATAAGTACTTGTGGTCCGTTGACGAGATACACTGCAGGTAGAACATACGACCATCAAACTTTACCCTACAGTAGTATCATCATTAGTATCATCATTAGTATTATCATTATTATCATCATTATCATCATTATCATCATTATCATCATTATCATCATTATCATCATTATCATCATTATCATCATTATCATCATTA